TCCTTCATATCTCATCGAATACTCCACTGGAGTTTCACCTGTAATATGAAAAACACTAGTGAAAAACTTATTCCACGACTACTGCATGCTGCGAATATCGCGTTTTTCACCGCTTCGAGTAAAACGGGTGAAACTCTAGTATATTAGTATTCCATTTAGTGTACTATTGAATGAGAGCATTGGGTAAAAAGAGCGTATATTATTAATGTTTATATCGTTGGAAATCCATGGTGTATCCAATTCAGGGTACGTGAAGATCCTTGGTAGTTCCTCGATTGGGAGTTGGACTACGAGCGGTGACCAAGCGCGAGAAATGAAGATACTTCAGGTGGGGTGCTGCTGATCTGACAACTGATGTCAACGAGTCCGACTCGTTGGTGTTTGTGGGGAAGTCAAAATCGGACGCAGAAAATTGAAGCTTTCGTATAATAGGAGAATCAAAATGACTATTTATTTTCTCGCGAGGAATATTTAATTCGAAGCGTGAAAATGCGATGCCTTAAGAGTTGGTAAGTGACCTGATTCAGAAAATTCACAAGTGAAAATCTATTCCGAATTGGATTCTAAGTTTCGAAGTTGAGCATGTGATTTTGACATCAATGTGAAATCTTGCAATCTTGCATTTCCTCAATGGATATTTCTTCAGGACAACTATGGCCTTATCAATAAGCAAGCGTGTATTGATAATGACCAGTCTGCGCTTATCGTGTCGGGCCACTCGTGTTCCTCTTTGACTGATTGCGACTCTCCAGTGAGCGGAAGCAATTATCAACTTTATGGCGGCGGAGCGATGCAATTTTTGAAAAGCGGATGGGTGGCGGTATGCTACTGCGACAAGGTCTGCAATGAGCAAGACAGTTGGACGATGGTGGGCCGATTGCTGGTCCGCGGTCCACAGGGTTCGGAAGCTTGGGTGTTTGCGGAAGCATTAACGTTCAAGTGGGAAAGGTCGCGGGTTCGAATCCCACAGGGTGCATTTTTCAGGTTAACGATTTATGGATGGGGTCTGTCTAGTGACAATCGTATCCTTATTATCGATCATTTTAAAGACTGTGGTGTGGTGAACTCCACTCAGAGTACGGATGTGAAAGGTCCCGTCAGTAGCGGAGCGTTGCTATCGGGCACGGGCAATATGATGACGATTGCACCAGCTGATCCAAGGTAAACACGAAAATATCTGGTTTTCTTTGTGCAGTGTGACAAAATCAGTCGTGATAATATGAAAATTTGAAAAAATTTTGGGAAATTCTTTTTGGTGGTATGGCAGGTATAAGCTGCGATGATATTCTTTTCTATTTTCAGTTCTTGGGGTTCCATTATAACATTTGGTACGAATGTGACACCGGTAGCACACGGCTTGAAAGATGGTGACTATATTCAAATCGATAACGTTGTGGAGACGACCGTCGGAAAAAGTGCTAGCAGTAAGTACCGTATGGTCCTCTCTGAAACGTAAATCGGCGTCTGAGTGAAATTACTGTTTTCATCGGGGCGCGGTTGAGGAAACTGAGTCAGTGATTTTCGCTTTCCTCAGCTGAAATGAGAAAATAAGTCACTGAAAATAGGACTTTATATACGAATAAGGCTAGAAGTGCTCCGAAACCAACAAAAAACTCCCAAAAATTTCCCAGGATTTTCATATTGTCACTGACACATGTAGTTGATTATGTGCATATTTCACCCACACTGTACTGAGTATTGGTATTTTTCATTTCTAAAGAGATGAAAATTTCCGAGTATACTTTTCATTCGGAACTGGGGAAAGGATAGCCTCCTTCCATAATCAGCATTTAGGGATGAACAAGTTTGATAACTTTGATGGAAATCGAAATGAATTTGAACTCGTTTAGTTGTGAGAAGAAATTTTTTACTTATTCCGCATTCCTCGAGATGACCCGTGTTGAAAAGAGCATTCTGTTGGAATTTACGGTGTCAACTAAGGGCACATTGTGGAATTCAAAGTTAGTTTAGTTTTGAATTTGAAGTTCCCGAGGGTTGGGAATATCATTCGATGATTTTTGGAGTTTCCCGACAGTTTTGTACACCTGATACTCCGAATCGTCTATGGGATTGATTGCTGTTTGTGGATCGACGAGATATGGTTGTTGAACAGCTGCCACAGTATGCGCTATTCAAAGAGTCCGTTTCGTGTCACCGCTTGAAACGGAGCTGAAATTTTGTGTCTAGACTCTCCTAGCCATATTATATTGTTCAAGTGTGTCGCGAATGAAACTACTGATGAGAAAAAATCGCCACGTATTTTAGCAAGGTGATGGTATTGGGTATTTGTAGGGAAGTTGGAGGAGGAGGACATGATTAACACGTCTCATGAAGTCGCCTATATTGATGATTATTCGATACGAATTCCTCTCAGCTTCTCGGAAGACTCCTACCCTGCATTCGATATGGTAAGTATCTCGTGGAGTGTCGTAGGAATACTGACCGCTACTTTGACTTGAGTGATGTGATCATGTTATATGGTCACATTACTCAACAACGAATACGACCAATCAGCCTGTATATGATTCATATACAATGGTCGTAACAGAGCACGCCTCACTGAGTTGTCAATGATGTGGTATGTGTCATTGAATAATTAGAAGTACTGTTCTGATCATTCACAGTGTGAAAAATAGTACCGAAAAAACACTCTCATACTATTAACGTTTTCCCTCATCCCTACGGTGTATCAAGAATCTTCAGAATTCGCAATTCAATAGACGAGTAATTGATTATAACGTATCAGGTTGGAAGCACACCTGCAGTAACTTGGGTGAGAAATTCCGAACAGGAATACACAGATATAATGTCACTCTCGACGGGAGAATATAAAGTTTGTTGGAGTGAAAGCGCGAACTCTGCGGAGACAGATTTTGTGGCCGAAGCGGGGACGTTGGTGATAACAGAAGCTCCGTCAATGCTTGCGAGTTTGTCGCTACTTACGATCGAACCGGACGTGTCTCAACCGATAATTATATCATTTACGACGGGAATCAGCGAAAATACGCGGAAATTGAAACGCGATGCAAATGAAAATAGTTTT